TGCTGGTACCATTGCAATACCTGCAGTGAGAATTTTACCAAGGGTAATTAATTGGAGTGAAAGTGGAATTACCTGTAAGTACTGGCAGATTCTTGCCGAATACAGCATCCATGCCAAAGCCAATGCCCATAACAGTTGTGGCAATGAATGTATTCTCGGAGAGGAACGATGTCAGTCCGCGATATTCGGTTGGTGTGGCTTCCTGAAAACCTGAAGGATGAGGAGAGCGAATTTTAGATTTGAAAGAATACTCTAGGCACCTGAAGGAAGAGTATTAATGCTCCAAATGATATACCGGAACTCATCGAGGAGACAACTCTCGATAGGAAAAATAGTTCCGGAATGGAGAGCGTTACGCTCAAAAATGAAAGCACTGTACCCAATAGCGCAACGAAGTTTGAGCCGAGAAGGGTTTCTAGAAAGAAATTTTGGGAATTTAACATGAATTATAATTAATCGTAATTGATCCAAGAAACTTACTTTTCCTTCCAAAGCGTTCCGTATAGTAGGGTGTTACGAAAGTTCCCAGAAGATATCCGAGGAACCATACGTTGAGTACAGCTGACCATATCCAAATGTAGAGATTTGGAGATAATCCATCCTGAATATTCTCATTAGTTATCGTTTGTTGTGAGGTCATTTGCGATCTTACCTCATCTCCTCGTTCCATGTACGAGTCGTTGATCATCTTCTGGAAGGACTTGTAGGAGGTGTTTGGGTATGAGTTTGAATATCCTTCCTTAAAAGAATTCTCTAGATTTTTGCTTAGTAATTAAAATTGGTTTAAAATTTACCGGAAAGTTCACCACTGCTCCTAGCAAACCAAAAACGAAAAGACAGTTGCGCATTCGACCTGTAATTTGATTATGATTTTCAATTTGGATCAAATTTACAGAAGTATTGAGGTTACCTTGGGGTGCGAACATCATGAATTACGATAATCACAACAAATATCGCTATATAATAAATTGAAGACACTCTTTCGATGATCAATCACAACAGCCGTGGTACGAGGCCCTTTTCGCATAGGGCGCTTTCCTAAAATTTATAATTTATTTTTACGAAATATCTACATAGTAAAAAGCGAGAATATGTGGGTTGTCGGGATTTGAAAGTATGGAGCTGCTTGCTAACTTATTATCTGACTCATTTCAACCTTTCTGGATGTTCCATTGGGAAATATATTAGAAATTTTTTCAGCTAATGT